CCGAGCACTGGAGCTACAGGTGTGAATGGCATTCCTGGTTCTCGAGGACACTTCAGCCTAGGAAGAGCGTTTACAAACAGCCAGCTACAGGTCTTTTGAAAGGCTGAGTGTTCTCGGACTGGAGATCAGAGTGATTCGAAAGATGAGGGGAAGTCGATGTGTGAGAGGTTCTCACGGCAAGGACCCTAACGCAGTTCTCAGCTAACAGCGCACAACATGGAGGACCTCAGCGCTGCAACTGCACACAAAAGGAATTCTGCCAACAACCCAAAGGGGCTTGCCGCACACCTTTCCCTCTCGGGGGCTCCAGCTGCCTTGATTTCAGCCTTGGACACACTGAGTAGAGAACACAATCACACCGGCCAGAGCTCTGACCTCCAGAGCTAAGAGCTGATCGGTGGGCATTGTTTAAAGCTGCCAAGGTTGTGTTAACTGCTCGTGCAGCAACAGCACTGCTATCATAGCTATTAATACACTTCCTTCCCTGACGAGGAGCATCACAGATTTAGGCTGTAACTATCCCTAGGTACTAAATAAAATTCCACTGGACTAAAGAGGAAGTGTTAGGCTCAGGGATGCACACATTGTGTCTACTCTGCTTTCCTGAGGATGAGAGAAGATGAGAGAAAGTGACCTTACACAGAAGGATACCTAGTACCCATACTCCCTTCAGTACTATATTCCAGGCCCTGGGTCCAGGAGTAAAGCAAGTAATCAGCCTCAAGGACCCCAAGCATGGACCAGAAGGACTTCCTTCCAAGGCCCTCTGCTTTCCAGGGACATCCACAGGACACCTCTTATGACAATAAACTTTCTCTACTTGCAACCTGTTTTTGCCTGGAAAGTCTTAGGAGAGCTTGGATAGCTAGGTCTATTAAACAGGCATACAAATCAAACATTTTCATCGTAAAGAAATTTATTTTGCAACAATTCTTTGTAAACATAATCTTATCGTTTATCAAAGACAAAAATAGATCACTTTTATATAAATAGCTAAATCTCAGGGGAGTGTTTGATACTGCAGATCTCTAGAAGCTATATAAAGCTGGAAGAAGAGAATCAAGTTCATAAAGTTGTCTCTAATCTCCACTCCCATCCCACATGCACAACACACACACACACACACACACACACACACCATCCATGCCCCACCCCACACACAAGAATTTAGTTCTGAGTGATGTTTACATCCATGACAATCCCAGTAGAGCTGCAGTCTCAGGATTTTATTTCCCTATAACTCACTACCTATACATAAACTCTTATGTGGCTAAAGCAGAATCTTTTGCTTAAAAGGTCTTTGAACTCTATTTATTAATTTCTTAAGAATTATTTTCTAATGTTTTTGACATAAACTGTTCAAGCCAGCCACTAGAAATGCTTAGAACAGTTAAAATCCCATTGGAGTTCTCCCAGGGACGTGCCCACTCCTAAGCCCCCAACAACCTCAATTTGATGGGACGTATTTGTTGTCTTCATGCGTGTCTTTGTATTTTTATTATGGGTGTGGCCCTCAACAAGGCTGGCATTTACTTTTAGTATGCTATCCGTAGCATCATACTGCTTAACCTATCTGTCCAGGCTTTTCTGAGACGTCTCCATGTTAGGATGTACTATAGTTCAAGATCAGGGCTCTCTTTAGGCTCTGCAGGTCCTAAGCCCATTGCGGTACACAGGCTTCACAGGAAGCCCAGTTGAACTGTGTCAAAATTTTGTCACACGAGTTTCCTATGCTGTGAGATTCTACTCTTCTCTTGATTCCGTCTGTCTGTTCAGTTGGTTTTTTGAGACAGGCTGGCCTAGACCTCATTATGTAGCCAACCAAGTTCACCCTTGAACTTCTAATCCTCCTGCCTTCACCTCCTAAATTCTGGGTAACAGGTGTGTGCTATCATATCCAGCATGATTTTTTTTCTTTCAATGATTCAAAATATAAAAACAAAGCTGGGGATGTGGATCAACAGGTAAAAGTATTTACTGTGTGAGTCTGACAACCTGAGGCCCCAAACACAGGTAAAATGTTGGACGTGGTAGTGCCCTCAGCGATCCCAGCACCCCCACTAAAAGACGGGAGGCAGAGAAACAGGGCAGTGAGCTGGGGGCTCTCAAGCCAGCTAGCTGGGAGTATGCGGCAGGTGCAGCAAGAGAAACAGAGAGTCTACTTCAAACAAGGTGGAAGGAGAGAACCAATGCCCTAAAAACTGGCCTCTGACCTCCACAAGTGCACTATGGCACATATGTGCCCGCTCTCTCCTTCTCCTCTTACCCTGTCTCTTCTTCCTCCTCCATACACAATAAATAAATAATTAAATTTCAAATGTCAAGTCATTTTTAGTTTCTGTCCAAACACAAATAGGAGGGACCAGATTTAGCCCAAGGACAACTGATCTTGCTCCAGATCACTCATTTTTTCCTTACTACTTACTATCTACCCATTCATTTAGAAATACTTATAAATTGTCTACCAGTAATTGTATACATAAACTTACTTTCTAAGTAGGTAAAGTAAATCATGTTATCCAGTAACAAGGAAAAAGTATTAACTTGACCTTAGAGGAGATTACGTGGCAGGCCGCGAGTGCTAATGGGGGTGGGAAAGATCAGCTGGCCTTGGGACAGTGGGTGAGAAAGGAGCTCTAAACAGGACTGCTCAGGTTCCTTTGGGTGTCCACCACTTAACGGCCTTGAGTTGGGACAATTCACTTGTTCTGTGCTTCAATTTTCTTGTCTCTAAACTATGAACCACAGCACTGCTCACTGCACACACAGGCTTGTTGTGAAAGCCAGGGTCCCATGAATGGGTGAAGACAGAACACGTGACGCACCTGATGAGTGGCCTGGCTCATAGTAAAGACTGGAAATGCTTTGCTGCTCAAGATCATGGAAGACTGCATGGAGGCAGTGCTAAGTAGGGGGTTAAGACAGAGAGGGAAGACCCAGACACACGGGGGCGGACAGAAAAGCATCCTAAGATAGAGAGTATATGAGGAAGCCTATACAACACAAAGGGCAAATTAGAAAACACGCCAATCAAAGATGAGGAAAGGATAGTGGGTAATAAATTAGGAGGGAAGCCTGTGGTTACACCATGGAGAGCCTTGAATGCCAGGCTGAGAAGTTTGGATTGTGTCCCGTTGCTAATGAGGTCTTATTAAGTTTTATGAACTAGGAGACATGCTGCCAGGATCTGGCAGCTGTGGGAGGCAAGTTGGAGAGAACACAGCCTGGAGTTAGGTTACAACCCCTATAGTTACTTTATTGGACCTGGATAAGTACAGGAAGTCATTTCAAAACCACGATTATGATCTGGCTCTTAAATGCCTCCTAAAAATTAACATGTGGAAGGCTTGGTCCTCGGTGTAGCAATGTTCAGAGGTGGGACTTTGGGAGGTGACTGGACCATGAAGGATCTAACCTCATGAATGGATAAATCAATGGACAGACTCAAAACTTGATGGGTCTGGGGAGGAGGGCTTCACTATAAAAGTGAGTTCTCTTATTGCTTCCTTACCACACACATAAAAGCAAATGGGTAGGGGCTAGCGAGTTGGCTCGGTGGGTAAAGCCCTTGCCGCGAGAGCATGAAGCACCCACGTAAAAGCTTGGCACAGTGGCACACATCTCAATCCCAATACCTGGGGGTAAAGACAATCGGATCTCTCCCTTTCACAGGCTAGCCAGCCTAGCTGAGCAGTGAGCTCTGGGTTCAATAGATAGTATGGAAAGAACAGAAAGAGACACTGGATCTCAACCTCTGGCCTCTATCGGCACACATACACACAAACACATACAGACATGGAACACACAGCAACCAGCTGAAGTAACAGTGCAGGGAAACTTCTGAAATTGTAAGCGCCACTAAACCTTTGCTCCTCTGACTCCTCTCAGGCACTCTGTCACAGTGCAGACAGCAGACTAACGCAGCTATGATGGTTCTACCCCTAGATGACTGGAGCCATTGCTTGCAGCGGTGAACCAAGACAGAGGAGGTTTATGAAGTCACTATTTACTTCTTAACCTGTGAGGCTGAAGGGCTCCACTTGGAACTGTACTAGAAGTGGAGCCTCAGACAAGCAAGTCTGAGCAGAGGGCAGATGAGAAAAGCCAAATGCCTTGAGTTAATCCTTCCCACAACAGGCATCTGATAATCCCCTAGTCTAAAGAGCTCTTTATTCTTTGTTTTCTTGTTTTGCTTTTGAGGCAAAACGTTGGGTCTCAGTATGTAGCCCAGGCTGGATCTGAGCTGGTGATTTTCTGTCCCAAGCTCTCAAGTGTTGAAAGTGTCACCACTTTTGAAAGAGAAGAAAACAGAAGCCAGAGATGGTAAGGTCAGCTCTTAACTGCCTCCCCGGGATAGCCTCAGCACTTCACCTCACAGAGACCCTCCATCAGAGGCTATTCAGTGAGATTCTGGGAAACTTTACACTATTTACTATTTACACCTTAGTTGAAGTTTCTATTCCTGTGGTGAAACACTATGGCCAGAAGCAACTGGGGGAGGAAAGGGTTTTTCTTTTGCTTACACTTAACAGCCCATTACTGAGGGAAGTTAGGGCAGGAGTTCAAAGCAGGAACCTGGAGGCAGGAGCTGATGGGCAATGGAAGGACACTGCTCACTGGCTTAACACTTCTGATTTTCCTGAGTATCTTGGGCACAATGTCCCTTCGCATGTGCTCTCAAGAAAGCTAAATTATTAGGAAAATGACACCTTAGATCACTGGCCCCTCAGATCTCAGGGACCGTACATTACCATGGACTTCAAAGAAAACCAGTTCGAAGCTCTAATCTAGCTGTGCGCGAACTCCTACGTCTTGGCTTCTCTTCCCTCTCTAACAGCATCACCACCGTATTCCTGGAGCCTCCCACGCTCCAGCGAGCCATGCATGCCACGCCTTGACACCTTTGCCCGCTCCCTGAGCTGCCTTCCCGTGCAGCTTCTTTAGGAGCGAGCTTGAATGTGCTTGGGCAGGAGGGCTGCTGTCCTGGAATCTTCCGGTTCTACTTCTGGTTCCACTGCTGTGATAAAGACCAGGCCCCAAGGCAACTCGGGGAGGAAAAGGTTTATTCGGCTCCACCTCCACAGCCCTGTCCATTCTGTCTGCCGTCCAGGAGTGGCACCTCCCACATCAATCATTTATCAAGAAAATGCCCACACAGACTGCCTACAATCTGATGGAGCTAAGTCCTCAATTGAGATTAATTCTTCCGAGAAATGTGTAGGTTTGTTTCAAATTTCCAAAAACATCTCCCCACCACCACCACCATACTTGGCCCTCAGGCAGTAGCACAACCTTTGAAGCTGCGTGAGTAACTTCACCTTCTTGGACTAGTTTCCGTACAGCTAAAACATTATGTCCAAGAGAGGCAATGGTGTGTGGAAGTGGGAGTGTGTGTGCTGGGTATCACTGGAAGACTGACCCCAAGGGTCATCAGGCCTGGAACACGATGGCTCAAAGCCCATTCTAGGGCAAAGAGAAGGCCTGATTTCACGAGCGTTGTTGCATTGTTGCACCTTCTCGGGGCACACTTCATTTTCGCCTCACGCCTTTTCCCGCCAGCGCGTCGGGAGAAGGTGCGAAGGAACTCTCTGTAAGGTCACCCCACAGTCGGCCTCCGGCTGGGTGGGGGCTGAGGGTCGACGGGATTCGAACCCGGGCCTTCAGAGGACGTCCCTGGTCTGGGAGACAGGAGCGATACGGCGGGTCCGGGCGCTTAAGGCCGGCGGGCGCGGGACGCGAGGCGGGAGGCGCCAGGCGCGAGCGGGGTCGCTCCTTCCCGCCGCCCAGCGCGCGCGAGCCCAACGGCCCCGGCGCGCGCCACCTCGCGGCAGGAGTCTCTGGCGGGCGGGGCTGCGCAGCTCTCGCCCCCGCCCCTCGGCCGCCGCCGCCGCCGCCTCGGTGGAGCCCCCCGCCGTTCGCGGCTCGCCGCCCGTCGCCGCCTCAGCCGCGCCGCTCTCCTGAGCCGCCGCCCGCCCCTGCCGGCGTCCTCGCTCGCTCCCTGCGCAGCGGAAACATGGCGGCTGGAAGGGAGTGAGCCGCCCGCGCCCCCGCGCCCCGCGCCGCGGTCGCCCTCAGGTAAGCGCCTGGGAGCCGCCGCCAGCCGAGCCCGTGCCCGGAGGAGCCGCCAACGGCGCCCGGCCAGAGTGAGCCCCCGCCCGGTGACCCCGCGGCCCTCGGGCGGCTGTGTCAGCCCGGCCCGAGCCCCGGCGGCCTGCGCGCCATCCGCTCGGGCCCAGTGTCCGGCGGCGGCCTGACGCGCCGGGGTCGGCTGGGGGCGCGGCGCGCGAGTGCAGCAGGCACGGGGGCCCCCTTCCGAGGGGACAGCAGGGCTGGGGCGGAACCGGGAAGCCTGGCTTGGGTTCCGGTGCGGAGGCTCTTTCGGGCTGGTGGGACGCGTCGCGGGGCAGTCGTCGGGGTCCCGGCAGCGGAGGACCGAGGGTCGAGGGTGCAGAGGCTTGGAGCGGTCTGTCTGCCAGCGTCCCGGGGCGGGGAGATCTCAGCGTGTGCCACCTGCTCGTGCCTGGCTAGCACCCGGCGGCTGCAGCAGGTTTCGAACCTCAGACGGGGACGGGGTGGAGGGGACGACGGCGGACCACCGGGGAGCACAGCAGGGAAAGGGGTTCGCAGGCAAATGGGTGAACCCCCTTAACATCCCAGACGCGAAGAGAACTGAGAGTCCTCCAGGATCTTCCACTCTCCGCCTATTCGGAACGGACGTTATCTTTTAAAATCCCAAATAAAACCTCAGTAATTTGGCGAACCTATTAGGAGGGCTCTCTGTCCTAATACCGTTCCAAGGTAACTTAGTCTGGCCCTGGATGGATTTGGTTAGAGGTGGGAAGAACCGGCTGTCTCCCGTCTCTTTTCTTCGTTTCCCCCGTGGGCAGCTGTGGAGAGTGAAGTTATCGCGTCCCCCAAGTCTTGTTTTGGCTAACTCCCAATTTTAGTCGTTTCTCTTACTCCGTTACTCTTTGATCCGCGCCTTTGATGCCCGCGTCGCCCTCATAGAAGAACTTATTGTGAGCCGAGAGACCAAACTCGGTCTTTTTGAAGGAAGTTCTTTGACCCTCAAGGACTGACCTTAAAAAGACTGTACTCTCCCTTCCTCATTTCTGTGCTGAGGGTGGGGGATGAGGGAAAGCTGTCTAGTAGCACGTGCTCACCCAAGCTAGAAGAGATTCTCATCCTGTTTTGTGGTTTCTCTTCCTTTAAAAAAAAAAAAAAAGTCTGTGAACACTTCATCAAGTGAGCTAATGTATATCAAAAGATTTTACAGTGTAATATATCATGCAAATAAAAGAGCTTATTATTTTTGCTCTAGAAAGGATTGAGACCTAATTTGGTGCCAAGCTGCAATTTAATATTTGCTTGGAGAGAGAACTGCCTTATTACAATGAACTGTCTGCTTTTTCTGCCAACAGAAGGCCCCAACTTGCTGTGAAAAACAACACTTTTTGTTGCTCATTTTAAAGCATTTCTTTTTTTTTTTCTAAGCCACTTAGCCTTGGTGGTACATAGGGTTAAAGTACTTTAAAAGGATCTTTTATCAATTTCTTAAACACTTGCCTAAACAGCCCTGCAAATGAATAATTTCTTAAGCCCATTAGTGAGGCATGATGGCCTTGTAGATAAAATGCTTTTGTGTCTTGGACCTTGTTCCTGCTCTAAGCAAAGTTTCACTGTTTTTATAACTATGGCAAGCACTCAGCAGTCAGAACTGCCTTTATCATTGCTCTTACATCTTTGTTTCTTGACTTGGTTAGTGGCTTTAAAGTTTGTAGCAGAGATGTCAAAAATTTTAAATAGATTTATTTTTTGGTGTGTGTGTGCGTGCGGTTGCCCACAAAGGCCAGAGGAATCAGAGTGCCCTACAGCTGGAGTTACAGAGTTGCAGGCAGTTGTAAGATGACTGACAGGTGGATGCCAGGAGCTGAGCTTGGGTTCTTTGGAAGAGAGCTACATGATCTTAATCACTGAGCTGGCTTTCCAGCCCCATGCAAATGCCAGGGTTAATTTCAGGAATGTTTGTACATATGCTGTTTCACTTTTGTGTAAATTAGTAAAAAAATAAAAGCTTGTGTGGCACCATTCTCTTCAGAACTACATAGATACAGAAGTCTCTGAACCCTCCAGTGTAAGAATTCAAAAAACAAAACACTGGCTTGACTGTTACAATGAAATTTAAACTTGCTGTATTCTAACTTTTATACTTATATAAACCCTGTGTCAGCAGGGTGTTAAGTGTGGTGCTAAACTGACTACACAGAGATAAGAGACATTTCCAATCATTGCTTACCTAGGTTATCTCAATAAAAGTTAAGAACTGTGCGTAGAATGCTCTGGTTACCTGATAGTGAGGGCTCTCAAGCTAGCCAGGCTTTGAGGAAAGGTTTTGTGGAGGGGTGAGTCCAGGCTCTGTGATAAGGGGGCCAAGAGGAATAGAATATGCATAAGTAAAGGAAAAGTGTGAGAAAAGGAGCAATCAGCACAAAAGTCACAGGATTTTATGACTGCCAATAAGAGTAAAGATAAAACAGTAAATTATGAGGCGTCAGCCAGGCAGAAGCCATGTTGTGGACCTTATATACATAAACATTGTGAAATTAATTTAGTGGGTGATGTTTTTAATCATTGAAAGACATACAGAAAAATCTAGACATAGTTGAAGTAACATTAAAAATAGAGATGAAAAGAAAGAAATTTGAGAAAACTTATGAGATCTCACATCTATGAGGCAATGATTAACTGAAACAGGAAACATTTGAAGATGAGAATTTTTAAATTTAAGTTTATTATTTTTAGATTTAGCAATTTCTTGAGGTAGAACAGGGAACAAATACAGGGAAAAGAGTTTGAAGTCAAAAAGTGAAATATTGCTTTATTATTAATAATAAAAGAGTTGTCTGATATGGAGTATGGAGCTGTTCTAGATGACAGCAAGGTAGGCGCGTGCGCGCGCGCGTGCACGCACATACAGGAGGGGTGTAACTAAAATACAACAGAAGCGAAGGGAAGTGGAGTGTGACGAGCTGTGAGGCTAGTATATAGTGAATGTAGTGTGTGTGTGTGTATAGCAAAGTGATTTAGGATGATGGGATGAGGAAGAGATGAAAACTGTGACCCAGGTGCAATAAGGATAAAGATTTAATTGAGGTAGTAGATGACACGTGAAGCCGTGAGGCAGAAAGTGGTATGGCCAGATGGTACAAACCTCAAAGGAGGAGTTTTTAAACACAGGAGTGGGTAATGGTTTTTTACTTTTTCCTTCTTACAGGCAGAGTTCTGAACTTTTCATTTTCATTCAGGACTCACATCAATTGTTATTTGCACTGAAGAGATTGTTTTAAGTCTTGAAAATAAGGGCAGATGCCCTGTATTGAATCCTTTCTGCCCATATATAGTGAGAGAGGGTTTTTCTCAGATGATTGGTTGGGTAAGTAAGAAACAATTAGATAAAGCAGTGAAATTAATCTATGGTTTGGGGGGCGTTTAGTAGAAAACGCCTAGACTTTGGCTTTAGAAAGACCAGGATTCAAATTTAGGCTCTGTTTCTAGCCTTATGGCTGTAACATACCCTGAGCTATAGAATAAATAAATAAATAAATAAATAAATAAATAAATAAATACTATTTCATAGTTTCACAACGTTTGCATGAAAAACAGTCACTAGAAAAGAAATTGACTTCATAGATGTGAAGTAAATGCTAATTTTCTTATCCCTACTTTTAATGGGCTTATACTCTGCTTACAGAAATAAAGCTTTTCCCTCCACACTTAACCAAAATTACTAGACAGAATACAGTAAGTATTCTTTTACTTTAGGGAGGTAAAAGTAGAGTAGTATAGCAGTTCAGAGGAGAGAACGATCATTTTTCAATACTTGAAAACAAGTTTAGTCTTCACATTCAAAATAATTTTCTTTGGATCCTGGAGATCAAATTTCAGTAGATTAAATAATAATTATGTCTAGCTACCCAGTATTTCAAGTATAAAGTATTTTGTTTAAAATTATTAGGTTTGACATAAATTTGAATGTGGTATTTAAGTCAATAATGAGATTAAAGTGATGGATTTGGTCTGAGACTATCGAGTTTGGAATTGCTTCTAGACATATTAGTGAGCAATGGGTTGTTCATCCTCTCTACCTACCTCAGTTTACTATGTGTTCATTTATAGATATTCAGAAGTTCAGATTTTTGTCTGAAGTAAATAAATTCCACATCTGAAAATAAGTTACCATGTAGGCAGATTTTAGGTTAGCAAAGTAACTATTGTGGTTTGTTTTGAAGCTGTAGTTAGTCCTTGTAATGACCTTGTTTGATAGATAGGCTCAGTCAAACTCTGGATTTTTTTTTTTTTTTGATGAAAGATTCTCTTTCCCACTGTACTGATTTAGAATTAAAACAAAGCTCGGAGCTCTCAGTGTTGCTAAATATTAACTGCATAGATGCAGGTTACTTAGATTCTCAGATACTCAGCCTCTTTATAAAGTGAGGGGAGGTATATGCTAAGGTTGAACTATGAGTTCGTGTAGAGCAGGTAGTCATTGGTCACAAGGCACTCAAGTGCCGGGTCCCTCTTTCCTCATCTATGGTTGATACCTTGGTCAAAGCTTTAGTGCTAACTCGAGCTATCAAGGACTTTCTAGAGTTAATTGTTCTGATAACTTCATGGTTGGATAAATCCAGCAACTCTTGGTGTCCCAGCTTCTCCAATCATTTGTCATCTTTGGTATTCTTATTCTTGTCTGGCCTGACTTTCTTTCTCTCCTAAGCCGTATTCTCTTCATGTTCTCCTAAACTACTGTTTCCTGTAGTGTTAACCATTTTGCTGGTGGTGGTGTGTATGCCTCCTGGAATCCTGGCGGGGGTATTAATTGTTCTGTAACCCTTTTAAATACAGTGCTTTCTCCTACAAACATCGCAGTGGGAGAGTCACAGATACTTAATTTTTCTTCCTCCACTGTTTCCAGATCATATCTTTTCTCCCTTGTTAAAATGCTCATGGCTTTCTAGAATAGGTATTATATTGCCCTTGTTAGATCTTCTTTATCGTTTAGGATCTGGAGCACACTG